CCAGCACCACATACATACTAGAAACCAGAGGCAAAGATCAATCCAAAGCCAAATGAGTGATGTTTGAAATTTATAGGCCCTATATTCTACTTATCCATTAAATGATGTAAACGCAGTTGTATCGCATCATCTATCTCATAAAAAAGTCAATGCAAGGGTATATAACCTGTTTGGTTCCATAACAACGATTTCAACAAACAAAATAGAACAAATTCTCTCCAATCTTCAAGCTGTGGCATCACAGAGCAAATATCATGCCCAAGACCATGCTTGACAACCCTGTACACAGATATGATGACAAACCTGACTTCATATCAGAGAACCTTGTAGGGAATGGGAAGCTAGAATGCTCATCTTAATCCCTGAAACGAAGTTCTATAGAAGTAAATCTCGAGCATTGGCTAAACGTCCTGCTTTATAGGCCCCAGTTCTCACTAAAACAATTTGGATCTCAGGCAATCATCACAACAGAACAGACCAAACAACTACAAGCTAGTTAACTTTGGCCAGGATTTATTCCAGCTCTAACTTCATCTCATTTACCCATTTCTTTTCTTCAAGTTTCTCTCTCGAGCAGCCTCTTCTTTTTGTCTTTGAATCAGCTCCAACTCCCGCTGTCGTTCTTCGTCTTTACGCTGCTGCTCCAAAGCTTCTCTTCTCTGAGACTCTTCTACACGCCTTTGATTGTCCTCAAGCATCTTGTCCAGCATTTCTCTCTCCTTTCTAGCTTTTTCCTGTTGAATTTAATAATATGATCAAGTTGTACTCAGAAGTCAGAAAGTAAATGACAAACCAGGAAAAGGGAGGTTTCAAGTTAAACAAAATTTTCCACATATGCAGCTGCAAAGAATAAAAAACCTTCAACTGCAAACAATTGATCTGTGTCATAGGGGGCTGTGTAGAGGTTAAGAAATCAATAATAGATTAAAAAATTCAGCTGGTAGAATGATATGTATTAATGGTGTCCAACCGAAATAATTGGCTCTTTAGACGGAGAGAATAAACGGGCTCAAATGAGTGGAGAGGCTTCTCAATCATATGAACCAACCCTGACTGGCCCTCACTTTCGACATGGGAGCCAAGCACTCTTTACAACCTCTCATGTGAGACCCAGGCTCGTCTATGGGCCAACAATCAGACAAATATGGATACCGAAAATTAAATGGACAAGAGACTTAACCAACTAATCATCAAGCCCGGGCTCTGATGCCATGTTAGAAGCAATCCAAACAAAAACCAATTGACAATGTGTGAACCAACCTTGGGTGAACCTAATCATTTGATGTTGTTAAGTTTGGAAGATTAACATAGTATTAGAGACAATATTTTGGGAGAAACAGAGAGATTAAAAACTTAACATAATTCTCTTACATCACTTGTATTTATAGTTAACTCACAATAATAAGAATTACACATACACCCTCTTACTATTAATAATTTATACATACTAGCCTACTACTCTTAACACTTCCCCTCAAGCTGGACTATATATATCATATAATCCAAACTTGGAACAAATCGCTGTAAGACGTGTACGACTCAATGCTTTGGTAAACATATCTACAAATTGATCTTCAAATTTCACAAATGGAGTTGTAATCTCCCCAACTACTATCTTGTTCCGAATAAAGTGACAATCAATCTTAATATGTTTGCTTCTCTCGTGAAACACCGGATTGACAGCGATATGGATAGTTGTCTGATTGTCACAAAATAATTGTAAAGAAAGTTGAACAGGAAGCTCAATTTCCTGGAGGAAGTGTAGTAGCCAAGTCAACTCACTCGTCGTATGCGTCATTGCCCTATACTCAGCCTCAACACTGGATCTTACTACCACGGATTGTTTATTACTCTTCCATGAGACAACGTTACCTCTTAAAAAAGTACAATAACCAGTAGTTGATCTTCGATCAGAAGGAGAGTCAGTCCAATCAGCATCTGAGAAACCTTCCACTCTAAGATGTCCATTAACTCGATATACCAGTCCAAGTCCAGGAGCTCGTTTGAGATATCGCATAATACGAATAACTGCCTCCCAATATGGTACTTGAGGACACCCCATGAACTGACTTACTATACTAACTGAATAGGAAATATCCAATCGAGTAATAGTGAGATAATTAAGCTTCCCAACCAATCTGCGATACCGACCGGATTCTCAAACAGTGCACCATCATCCATCAAAAATTTCTGATTCGGATCCATAGGAACATCAATAGGTTTGCCACCCAGCAAACTTGCTTCCTCGAACATGTCAAGTACATATTTTCTCTGGGATAAACAAATACCCTGTTTAGATCGAGCCACCTTAATACCTAAGAAATACCTAAATTTTCCCAAATCCTTAGTATGAAATCGATCCTGCAAGAATATTTTTAACTTGGCAATCCTCTCAGAATTATTTCCGGTAATCACAAGATCATCTACATAGACCATCAATAGAACATATCCAACATCTGTCTGTCTATGAAACATAGAATGATCTGTCTGACATCGAAAAGACCAAACTCTAAAACTGCATCTGAAAACTTACCAAACCATGCCCTCAGTGACTCCTTCAAACCATAAAAAAATTTCTTTAACCGACATACACTCTTACCATACTCTCCCTGAGCAGTAAACCCAGGTGGCTGCTCCATGTATACCTCTTCAACCAAGTCACCATGTAGAAAGACATTTTTTACGTTTAATTGAAACAAAGGTCAATCAAGATTAGCAGCCAAAGAAATCAAGATATGAACCGACAAAATTTTGGCAACAGGAGAGAAAGTTTCCTTATAATCAACACCATAAGTCTGAGTAAAGCCTTTTGCAACAAGCCGGACTTTGAGACTCTCCACAGAACTATCCGGATGAAATTTAACAGCATACACCCAACGACAACCAACAGTTCGTTTACCAAGAGGTAAAGGAACGAAATCCCAAGTCCCGTTATGATGTAAGACATCCATCTCCTCCTCTATAGCTTTCCTCCAACCCGGATCAGATAATGCATCTTGTAAATGCTTAGGAATAGATATAGTAGATAATTTGGAAGTAAGACAAGAGAAATTAGGAGACAAGACATCATATGAAACAAAATGAACAATAAGATGATTAGTAACACACGAACGAGTACTTTTTCGAAGAGCAATAGGTAAAGAGTCTAAATTAACTGATGTACCAGGATTAGAAACGGCAAGAAAGATAGTACCGACACCTTAATCGATGGGCGAGGACGGCGAGAGTAGACACGGAGAGGTAAAGTAAATGGTAACACAATGGGCAGCGGAATATCTGAAGATGAGGAAAGAGATGGTAGCACAGGAGATGACCCAAAGTCCAGATCCAAAGGCTGAGAAGGTGCTGAAAAATATGGAACAGATTCCTCAAACGTGACATCGGCACTAGTAAAGTATCGGCACAAAGAAGGACTGTAGCAACGATACCCCTTCTGCGTGCGAGAGTCACCAAGAAATACACATTTGGTAGCTCAAGGGTCAAGTTTGTTGAACCCAGGACCCAAATTGTGAACATAACAGACACATCCAAAAACCTTAGGAGTCAGAAAAAATAAAGGCTTACCAGGAAAAAGAACAAAATATAGGCTTTGCCTATTTAACACAGAGGATGACATACGATTAACAAGGTGACAAACAGTAAGAACAACATCACTCTAAAAATATCGGAGAATATTAATCTGGAATAACAAGGCGTAAGTGACTTCCAACAAATGACGGCTCTTGCGTTCAGCAACACCATTCTGTGGAGAGGTATAAGCACAATAAGTCTGATGAATAATGTCAATTTTACTAAGCTAAGCTGAAAAATGATTAGATTCATATTCCCAAGCATTATCGGAACGTAAAATACGTATACGACAACCATACTGAGTTTTTATTTATTTACGAAAGGTCTCAAATATAGAGAATAATTCAAACCGAACTTTCATAAAAAACAACCAAATCACACGAGAATAGTCATTCACAAATGTCACAAAATAAGGATATTTATTAGATAAAATATTCTTTATGGGATCCCATATATCAGAATGTACTAACTCAAATGGACTAGATACACGATTATTAACTCTAGATTGAAAAGACACACGATGATGCTTACTAAGTTGACAAACTTCATAAGACAAAGACGACACATAGCTAAAACTGGGAACTTGGCGCTTCGAATTCTGGAGAGAGGGATATCCATGACGACAATACCATTGAAAAGGAGACAACAAGGTCTGTAGTGCTTAGATAGGTGAATCAAAGTCAAGGTAATATAGGCCATCAACTTCATGTCCCGTACCAAACTTCCTCTTCGTCTTGAGATCCTGAAAGACACAATAAGAGGGATAAAATGTTACAAAACAATTCAGAGAATGGGTAATCTTACTAATGGAAAGTAAACTAAAAGGAAACTGAGGAACAAATAACACAGAAGATAGGGACATATCAAGACTCAAGTGAGTAGTCCCCAGGCCTGAAACTTTAGAACAAGTACCATTAGTAAGAGTAACACTACGTGTGGAATTAGCAGACTGATAAGTAGAAAAAATATCAGATGCACCAGTCATGTGGTCAGAAATGCCAGAGTCTATGATCCAGGGACTAGGAGTGGAGGACAAGAAACAAGTGGAAATAATACCTGACTGGGCAAAAGTAACGGTGGAGGGAGATAGGACAGCCTGTTGCTGGGACAAGAACTGAGCATACTCCTCTCGTGTAATAGTAACCAACCCAGTGTCTTGCTTGGGTTCCATAAGTGTAACAAATAGAAAAAGAAAATCACTAGATCACTGAACCGGACAAGAATCACCTACTGCACTGCTGAACCAGAAAAAAAACGGATACTAGAGGGCGCTGGCCTGATGAACCGGACAATCTAAGGCGCTGGACCACTAAACCGGGACTAACTTGGACTGTGGACCACTGAACTGGGATTGAAAAGGGAGCTGGACTGCTAAACCAGACAATCTGAGCCCTCTGGACCCCTGAACAGGATCGGTTTGACTTGTTGGATCACTGAACCGGATAGGCTGAGCCCTCTGGACCCCTGAACCAGACCAATTTAACTTGTTGGATCACTGAACCGGGGTGAAAGTCGATAGAACCGGTTTGAACAGGTGCCAAACTAACTGAACCGGACTGGAATGGACCAAACCGGGACTGAACCAGCCTGAAACACTGAACCAGCCTGAAATGGACCAAACCGGGACTGAATCGACCTTGAACCGGTCTGGTCTGGACCAGTTTTGATTTGGATCTTGGGATGGACCAGGTCTTGGACTGGAACCGACCCGCAACAGATCTGAATGGACTTCGTCTTTTTCGTCTGATTAGGGTTTCAAGAGAAACCTTAAGCTTCGACTGTGCAGCGCAGTTGACCCAATGGCACACCACCACAACAGGTTAGATGTCCATAACGATGCCACCACAATCGACGACAACAGCACCACCCTAACCACCTAGAAACCACCGATGTCAATGACCACCACAATCGCAGTCCACAGAGGACACACAAATCTGGAATAACAGTACACTGGACACCTCCACCACAGATGTAGTACCACCACTACGCTAGAGCACCACCACCACAACAACAACACCACCACTATAGTGACACCACTTCAAGCCAAGGGATTTTTTTTTTTCACAACACAAACAGACTAAGATTTGTATTTAGGATCGAATTGCTCTGATACCATGTTAAGTTTGAAAGATTAACATAATATTAGAGACAATATTTTGGGAAAAACAGAGAGAGGTTAAAAACTTAACCTAACTCTCATACATCACTTGTATTTATAATTAACTCACAATAATAAGAATTACACATACACCCTCTTACTATTAATAATTTACACATACTACTCTATTACTCTTAACAGATGTGACATCAAGCAATTTTTACAATCTCAATGTAAAGGATTCATCAAATCAATGTATCATTAGGAACAAGGGACAGAAAACATCTAAAACCACAAAAATGGCAAATAAATAAGCAAGGACCTCTGCACCACATGCCTGCAGTGGATATGGTTACTAGGATAATTAGGAGGCCGCAGATTAGAAGTCAAAAGGAAAAGAAAATGTTTGGCAGCATTCTCCAGCATTATTGTTTATTGTGTCCTGTCCACTAGCTCATGGCACCAATGTTAGACCTATCCAGAAGGATGGAAAGAGAAAAAAACAATGAGTTGGTTACTTGTAATGTTTTATTTTCCTAAAACCACCAACACCATCTATCACCTCTCTCTTTCTTTGTTGAAGCCTTCCCTCTTTCAATTATCTTTATGGTGACACCAACTCTAATACTTCCAAGTGCAAAACCCTTGAATACACAGAAGCATATCAAGTGAACTGATTGCCAGAGATTTGATCAACCAGAAACAAGGAAGGCTAGTCGTTATCCAAGTGCAGATTATCTTTTTTCTACATTCTACCAAATCCATCGGGGAGCTAGATGTTTATAAGAATTTTCCTACAGTCCCAGCACAAAATTAGTAAAATTTTCCTTTGTACCTGTGTACTTTCCATGAAATTCTAGAATAAATTCTACAAAAAAACATAGTGGTCCCCTTAAAAAATACAAAAAATAATTGATGTAGCCTTGACAAGAACATTATGTTCACTTGACCCCACCACACTGTCCTAGGACTCCTCGCCATCACGGAGCAATAAAGCAGAGAAAAGTTTGTCGATTGTTTGAGTTTCGTTGACAAAGATCATTTGCAAATTCAACAAGAGTTGCTAGTAGTGAATAAAAACATGCCAAAATAGATTTTCAATATCCAGTGATGCATGAGGTTCCAACCCTATACATTAATAATAACACTGCCACATTTGTGCATGACTTGTAATTGAATTTCATTTTGATTGGAAGGGATTGACTCATCCAATTTTTTCTTAACGATATCTAGGAGCACACTGACACCAAACAAATAGCAGATTGAGAAAACAGAGAGAAGAGCGTGGTGACCCAAATAGATAAAATGAGATGAAGTGAGGTAAGGTGCGAGGTCCTTGAGGGCCAAGTCATAGTCTTATCATCTTACCCTCCCAAATGGAGTGTGTGAAGAGTGCCATAAAGTGACAGCTTTAGACCTATATCCTACAATCCTAAAGCCATGTTGGTCTGGTCAAATCTGACAATACTGTACAATAATGGGTCCGGGTAGTTTCAGAGCCAAACATATTGTGGAATGGGTCCACACAAGGACATGAGGCATAAGGGGATGGATTAAGGTGATCCACAGGGAGGAGATGAGGTCATGCAAATTGACCTTCCAAGTCCATAGTCTCTGACTTAGATTTCACAGTGATGTGTGTGAAGAGTGGTTTATAAGGGAGAGCTTTATATCTTCATTGGACAACACATTTTAAAATCTTGTGGGTCCAACCCAAGATCATCAAGGCTTGGCGGGACAGAGGGAGAGACAGAAAAGTAAAGGGACTTGTAAAAGAATTATCCTGTGTTCCACTCGGTGATTTAACAATAAAAATCTGCAAAAGGTTTCTCAGTAGAACCATCTCCCTCCCTCCCTTCTTCGCTATGTGGCAAACACTAGTCATCTTCCCCCCCCCTCTTCACGCAAAATGACAATAATTGATCAAAAAACAGTAACACTACCTCGTCAAAAGAGTAGAAAAACCAAAATTTAATGGTTACTGAACAATTGTGCAAAGGTCCAATTGATTGCCAACAAGAACACACAGCTACTTTTTTGGGAGTTTCATGTCTACGCAAAACTTATAATGCAAAGACGTGCTTTCACATGCTATCTATAATAATTGTTGTCCACCCACCACTTAGAATCTAGAATCGATGTACTTCCATCGAGTCCAATGAAAAAAATAAAATAGTTTCTGAAACTTAAATCTCAAGATATTCCTAGCATCACCCTCCTAGAAGATTCGAAACACATATTTCCTTAAAATAATAAAATCATGAGGCTGTAGAACTTGGTTCAAATAATGGGTCGAGTTGTATTTGACTTTGTCCTTTCTGTTTTGAATTGGTCCACGTTCCATGTGAACTGCGAGTCTCACTCAACTCATGGTTGACGGGGTCATCTCAACTAAGTTGCCGAATCGTCAAACTTACGACTTGCCAAGTATAGTCCAATATCTTCTACGATCTGACATAA